TGGAAAAAAATCCCCGAACCTCTGCCACATTGTATTCGTCTGTCAAGGATTTGTAGGACGGAAATAAATCCGTTCACGTCGTCATCAAGTAGTGGTCGACGCGAACTTCGTTGGCTTTGTAAGTTTTGAGGTTTTCACGGCGATGACTATGAAGAAAGTCGTCTTCTGGGTTTAGGCGCCGTGTATTCTTCGTGGCAGTAGCTACTGCTCTCTGCATTCCAAGCCATTCAACTGCTCTGAAGATGGAGGCGATACGTTCCTCCGAAACGTCGGCCAAACGAAGAATACACGGCGCCTAAACCGAGAAGACGACTTTCTTGGTTGGCTTTGTTCAGATATTGCCCCAGCATTGCACCTTTATTGCTACCTCTTTCAAATAATTCTTATCAAGCGGGTTGATGTATGCTGTAGACAAATATTCAGATTCCTGCTCAAATTTCGGCCCGGTTAACAGCTGTCCGCATGGTTTCCTGTTTGCCCTGCGCCTCTCCAAATGAACATCTGATTAGTGTCTCGAAACGGACCACACTATTTTTTTTTTTTTGCTAGTGGGGTGGGACTAAGTCCCCTGTACTGAGGCCACTTCTGGCCTATTGTACCAGAACCAGATGATAGGTGAGGGTGATTGTGGAGCAATTGGTGGAATGAAGATTGGCAGGGGAAATCGAACCTGCCCCAGCGCCACTTTGTCCACCACAAATCCCATTTTACCAGACCCGGGATCGAACCCGGGCCGCCGCGGTGGGAAGCCAGCGACTAACCGCTTGAGCTATGTTCACGGCCTAAACAGACCATAACTGCCTCCTTCCAAGTCTTTGGCCGCTTACCAATCATCGTCATTTTCCTGTGTCATGTGACTTTACCTTTGCAGTTTAAACAGCGTTATTTATTTATTGATTGCATATTTAATGTTGCTGTCAGTAGTTCAGAACTATGGTCTAGTGGTCAGAGTTCCTGGATATGGATCCAGAGGTCCCATGTTCGATTCCCGGCGCTCCCAGATTTTCTGAGAAGTAGTGAATCTGGAACGGGGTCCACTCGCCCTCGTGAGGATAATTGATGAGCTGTTTGAAGGAAACAGCGGTTCCGGTCTAGAAAACCTAGATTAACGGCCGTGGGGATCTGTTGGGCTGACCACGTGACAACATTTATCCACAAAATTTGGCACTATCTTCGCCGACGAGCGGCAGTCGCTTACGTACTACAGGCCAGGAGTTCCTTTTTTTGTCAGTAGCTGAGACTATTTTCCTTCAAATGGTAGGATTTGGAGAGTAATGAACTGGAAAGGATGTGAGAAAGTCTAAGTGATAGTGGACTAATTTTAGGTACTGTCCCGACATTTACCAGGATGGAGTGAGGAAAACCACAAGAAAAAACCTTCAGTCAGGTTAGTCTGTGTCCCGACTGAGATTCGAACTTAACCCCTCCATAATAGAAATTAACCGCTTGATTCAGCTTAACGACATTGTTGCACAGTAATTGTTAGTTACAGCACACAGTATTTGTGCGTAATGTAGATGGATTGCTAAACAGTGTTCACGGACTAGGAGTGTGTCGTTACAGACTCGATGATTTCGATCTCTGAGCCTCTCACGCACTGTAAATATAGTCCCTAAAGCTGTTGCGTGCCGGTCACGGTAGCCGAGCGGTCTAAGGCATGTACTGTCTTCGCTCTCTAGGAAATCGGGATCGTGGGTTCGAATCCCACTCAGGGCATGGATGTTTAGTTTGAGCGTGTGCGTTTTTCTGTGTGTGTGTGCAGGTAGAGGTCTTGCGACGAGCTGATCACCCGCCCAAGGAGTCCTACCGAATGTGTAAGATCTAGAAAAACCGAAGTGAACAAAGAAGTTCATGGAGGTAGGCCTAGGGCCACTGGGGCTGTAGTGGCAAGGAAAAAAAAAAGCTGTTGCGTCGAAGTCGGAGAGCGAGCTGAAAGGATGGGTCTAATGTTAAAACTGAGGTTAAACTGATATTAATAAACTCAGGACATTTTTGTCGCTATTCAGCCCAAAATCTGATATCAGTTATCCATACTTCTATAATTCTTGAAAAGTAAAAACATTTTCCATTGGTTTTTGCTAACTTCTAGTCTGTACTGTCCTCTAAAAAACCCTTGCCTCCTTTATGACGGATGCCCGTTTTATGTTACTTAGCTTCGACAATGAAATCTAGGGCCCTTTTTCGCATTAAAATTACGAGGGAAACATTTTGGCCCAAACTGATTGAACAACGGAAAAGTTCCGTACTAGTAACTTTGAGATCTGTTGTCTTTTATTCACATTATGGTAAATAAATACTGGAGACCGAAATTTGGTGAACGAGTAGCTTGAGCAGATATCGGTGTAGCAGTACCGTTAACGGTATAGAATTGTATTCAGAAAGTACCCAGTTCGAATATCCACCAGGTTTCTAGTTATCCATATTTAATTCTTTATAGTTTTTGTTTCCCCAGTATGCAGGCTGTCATAAAAGTCGCTTTACCGAGATTATAGTCACTTTCTAGGAAGAAAATACGTTATTTACAACCAAACGCAAATTGAGTAAATACGCGAATATCACAACAGCTGAGACAAATAAGTGCTAGTGTACCTGAGTGTTACCACCTGTCGCAAATAACACAACTTCATCTCGGTTAGGCGATTTTTAGCATAGCTGGTATATCTTAAAATGGATTTTGATCCCTCCTTTCAAATCCTTAATTCGTATTCATGTCGCCACTTTCAACGCTATATTGTCTTCCCTGCTGGAACAGAGTTGTTAGCCCACGAATTGGCCAATCAGTCGGATGGACATAAGAAACAGTTATAGAATTTTTGTAGATCCACGTCTTGGAAGCCGAAGAACGAATCGAAAATGGAAAGGATATTATAATAACATGGATCTTAAGAAATAGGTTTCGGAAATTAGTGTTGAGTTGAACGGGCTTACAACATGTGAACCGTGTGCTCGAATCATGATGCCAAAGGCTTGGTTGGTTATTTGTTGGTAAAGTCGATGAGGCTGTGGCAGTTTTCGAGTGAACCTTGCCCCATCCTATCCTCCCCATGTATGGATATGTTTACGTTTTTGTTATCTCGTATGAGTAGCAGTAGTAGCAACTAAAAGTGATTGGCTCTCAAAGAAAATAACTTTCTGTATTTATATCTTGACATGAACTAGGAAGAAGTATTATCCTTCTAAGATACATGTTTCTCTCGGCGGTGAATTCGAAGATTACAGTCTTATAGGGTGTGGTGCTATATAATCTGGGAGAGGTGCCGACGTTTCGGAGTAACCTCTCATTTTTTAGGGTAAAAGTGCCTGAAGATGGAAGCATTACATCCTCGCACGCGCGCGCGCACACGCGCACACACACACACACATGGAGCTGAGCTCTTCTTGAAGAGCCGCCAATTCTGCAGCTACTCAAGAACTTCCCAGCATTTTATGGAACCCGAGGGTTCATTATTGTGTTCACAAGAGCCCTCCCGTGGTCCCTATCCTGAGCCAGATCAATCCAATCCGTACCATCCCATCCTATCTCTCTAAGATACATTTTAATATAATCCACCAACCTACGTCTTTATCTTCCCAGTGGTCTCCTTCCTTCCGGCTTTCCCACCAATATCCTATATGCATTCCTCCTCGCCCCAATTCATGCTACATGTCCTGCACACCTCATCCTCCTTGACTTGACCATTCTGCGTAATTATACTTGGAGAAGAGTACAAGTTATGAAACTCCTCATTGTGCAGTTTTCTCCAACGTCCAGTATCCTATAAGAAAGTAATCTTCAAGTGATATCCTTGTGTTATCACTTACAGGCCTGAATTCTACAGGTTTATGCATTTACATTCGCGCATTATAAGAATATTTAGTTGCAGTCATTAGTCATCGGCGTGATGATTCTGTCCGAATTGAGGATTCTGTGAAATTAGAAAGCAGTCGCTTACAAGTAATTGTCAGGTCAGTGACTGTTACATATAGATCAGGGATGTCAGTTTTATGCACAACACTAATTTCTCTAACGGTATTTTTTAGATGAAGGGTGATATCTTCTGGTACGTGACGCCCTGTAGTCTGGTAGAAGTTAACCGACGCTTTGAAGGAACGTACTCCTCCGTGTTCAGGGTCGAAGAGTAAGCCAAGCAAGCAGAAAACACTATATGTATTTGCTCGACTTGCGTTCCTCCAAAGCGCCTGTAAATTCTACCAGGCTACACGGCGTTACAACTCAAATGATAGCCATCGCTGCGAGATCCTCAAACCTCGCGTGAGGTCCTCCACCCACAGATGTGCGGTGTATTTATTTTATTCTATAATGTAATTTTGGTACACAAGAATTGCCATTGCATATTCTGAAATTCTGCTTTAAACCGTACACACACGCATTTGGACTCGTTGGTGTATATGAATGTATTTTCTTGGTGTAGTGGACGACTGCAATTTGGGTTCGATATTCCAGATCGTTCATATTAATATCTATAGTTGTTATAAACTAAATCCCTTAAGTCTGTAACCAGCAAAGCGCGGAGTTACAGATTAAGCTTTAGACGTAGTATGAATTGTTGAGTTGTGAATTTGTGACATGAGGGCTCAGAGCCAGAATTGAGGAGCGCGAAGATACATCCATTGCAAGGTTATGACATGATAAACACCCGATGGCGCTATTAAGCGAGCATTCGCTGCTTCACAAAAATGGAGGAGCTGTTGTACGCGGTATTTTCTGTGGGGTTCGTGCCAGGAAATGACAAGTGGAAGCAGTAGCAAGCTGAGAAGGCTAGTGAGGGTTATAGTGATTTTTGCAGCGTTATATATTCTTGTAGCTCCGAGTTGAAAATGTACAATAAATAGGATTACCAATCAAAACCCGGTCTGTAGTCACACTTCCTCCGGATGGACTGAGGAAAGCTGTTAAGACCTCAAGCGAGCCTTCCTTGGCCTCCCAAATGTGAAGAGAACGCTAAAATCATGGATTAATGGCATTCCGTTGATTCATTCTTGGTTTTCGGATGTTACAGGTATTATGGAATCCCAGGAAAATTCGTCCACATCAACATCAAATACTCATTGGTTCAATTTCGGTGAGTTTATTTTGCGCATGTTTGTCTCGTAGAATGTTGCGCACATTGTAGAGATGCTGCCATGGTGGGGTCTAGATTTTCCAACTGTTGTAATGCATCTGTTAGCTGTACCTTCCACAGGAATCTATTGCATTACTTCAAATATTGAGAAAACTACCAATAGTAATAGAAATATTTTTCAGTATAACCACATATAGGCAACACGCGGTAGCGTAGTTGGTTGAGGCACTATGCTAGTAGCCGGAAGGTCGCGGATTCGATTCCCAACGAGGTCATTGTGTTTTTCATTTGACCTAACCCTTCCAGCCTCACTACAGCCCTGAGGTCGATTCAGCCTCTTAACAGAAACGAGTACCAGGTATCTTCCTGGAGGTAAAGGGCGGCCGGCGCGTAAGACTGACAACCTTACCACCTGTGAGCGGATTGTCTAGAAAATGTGGGAGCTTCGACGTCTCACAACCTTATGGGCCTCCACGGCCTGTTACAGGAATATAGGGGTGTAAGATCATATGAAGATACGGTGCTTGAGAATGTGAGAATGTATGCGCAGTCATTCGAGCTTCTGCCTACGAACCTCAGGTGTGACCAAAGGAAAGAAACAACAGATTTCCGGAAGGCATTATCGGCAGTGGAGTGTCTCGTGAGGAAGAAATCTTGTCCCTTCGGGTAATCGGGCCCCAGTTGTCCAGTCACCGTTCGTAGAAGGGGGTTCAAGTGGTCAAAAGAGTTCGAGAATCTTCAAGGAATGTATTCTGATAAATAAATGTCAGTACAAGTACATGGACACAAACCAATAAAACTCATCATGGAACGTTGAAGTGCCAATGAGTTTTTGGTAGTTATTGTGGTGAGACAGGAAAAAACAAACACATTTTGTTCGAGAATCACTGACTTGGGATATCGTGTAACCGGGTAAAGCCGTTAGTAACATTAAAGAAGGCCGCCTCATAGCTCAAGCGGTTAGTCGTTTGCTTCCCACCGCGGTGGCCCGGGTTCAAACCCGGGTCTGGTCAAGTGGGATTTGTGGTGGACAAAGTGACGCTGGGGCAGGTTCGGTTTCCCCTGCCAATCTTCATTCCAGCAATTGCTCCACAATCAACCTCACCTATCATCGGGCTGGTACAATAAGTCAGGAATGGCCGCAGTACAAGGGACTTAGCCCCACCCACTAGCATTAAAAAAAACATTAAAGACATTGTACAGTCATGTACAATGGTTAGTTCTGTGTACTTATTTATAATTTGTTGAAGAACGCTGTCAGTGACTCAGAATACATAGCGTCGAGTAGTATGATTATAGTGAATAATGAATTGAACAGAATGTAGAAGGAAGTGGTCATGGCATAATTTAAGGTACTCTTTTGTTATTTTCCTGGAATGACTGGGATAAACCACGTATTTCCTCAGTCAGTATAGCCGGTGTCCCTACCGAAGTTCGAACGGGGCATCCCTTGAATACACGTCAGAAACATTACAGTATGAGCTAATTCAAGTGGTTAGTACTCATGCTTTATATTCGGGAGATCTGTTAAGCTGGCTGCCCAAACTGAGGTGTGTGCCTGGGTTTCCGCGGCCCCTTCAGGCAAATTCCATAATAATACCTTAAAACAGGACATCACCATTTCGACATCCTTTCCACTTCTGTCAGCGTACTCGTATGCAGTTGAAATTTCGCGTAAGAATAAACCAATAAGCCATAAACATTATATTACATACTCATTGAGCTGAGCCCTTCTTGAGGAGCCGCCAGTTGTGCAGCTACTCAAGAACTTCCCAGCATTTTATAGAACCAGAATGTTCACAACAGTCCTCCACTGGTCCCTTTCCTGGGCCAGATCAATCCAATCCATTCCATCCCATTCTATCTCTAAGATCAATTTTAGTATTATCCACTAGCCCACGCCTTGGTCTTCCCAGTGGTCTCTTTACTTCTGGCTTTCCCACCAATATCCTATATGCATTCCTCGTCTCCCCGTTCGTGCTACATGCCCTGCCCACCTCATCCTCCTTGACTTGATCGTTATAATTATACTTGGAGAAGAGTACAAATTATGAAGCTCCTCATTATGCAGTTTTCTCCAACCTCCTGTCAGTTTCCATAAACATTATGTGGAAATGAATATTTGCATTGCTTAATTCTGGTGACGAGATTCAACGCAGGGCAGACATGACTCTACTGTGATATACGCATCGGCGTGTGTTCCATGGGTAGACTGTGTTTGTTGAGGTCAATGCTCTATATGCAAGAAGGCGTGACTGCTCATAGGGGCCTGGGGTTTTGCGAGCTTCGTAGTGTTCGAGGGGTTCTCCGTTCAGGAAATCTGACGTTTTCATTTCGTCACGGTGGAATTTTGCTTCGTTGACTGTAGTGTCGCTTTATATTAAAGCTATAAAAGTTTAACTAATTAGAGCGTAAACGATATCCTATCCTGGCGAATTGTATTTGAGGCGTGGTTGGAAACGTTGCCTGTCATTTTAGTAATTTCTATTTTAACTTTCATAACAGATCCGGCCAGCCGGTTTAATTTTGTTTCAGGATGGCGAAAGAGAAAATCACTTCGTTGTGTCTTGTCTCGACAGGAGTTTCGCGTGGACTGTCTTGTCTTACTAGGCTTGCCATTTGCAGTACCACAAACCAGTCACGACTTTATCGGTAAAATTGGCTTATACCGTTATACTTATTCTCTTGATAATCTTTGGTTCCCTGTTACATGGAAATGAAAGGGTTCTTCCGAACACGACAATAAACTTCCGAGTTCCATAAAACGCGTGGAATATCATGACCAGATGAGCAGTTGTCGCATTATAAAGGAATACTACTACTATTTGGGGGTAAACCATTTTTCCCGCCACTCCGTTTATGAGATCGCAATATTATTTCATAATATTGACACTCCCTTACTGGAACATCATCCCCCAAAGTTTCATCAAAATCGAACCAGATTGAAGGGTACTTTTTTTTTCTCCCTTGGCACTACAGCCCCAGTGGGCCTAGGCCTACCTCCATGAACTTCTCCGTTCACTTCTGTTTTTCTAGATCTTACACATTCGGTAGGACTCCTTGGGCGGGTGATCAGCTCGTCTCAAGGCCTCTACCTGTAGACAAACACAGAAAAACGCACACAAACATCCATGCCCTGAGTGGGATTCGAACCCACGATCCCAGTTACCAAACGAGCGAAGACAGTACATGCCTTAGACCGCTCGGCTACCGTACTTTACTCTTGATAATTCGGAATTTTCGATTTGGACGAAACTTGCTGGGATAATGTGCTAATTAACGAGTGTCAGTATTACGAAATAACATTGCGATTTGATAAACGGAGTGACTGGGAAAAAAAAAAGATTAGTAGTAGGTTATAGTAGTAGTGGTGGCAATGACTGTAGTGCTAGCAGCAGTAGCAGTGGTAGTATCACTAACGTCGCCGTTGAAAGTCTGGAGTTAAAATCTCTGGTCGGAGATCTGATAGCATGGCCAGTGTCCTTTTTTTTATCAGATGCCAGGATACTGCCTTTTGAAATAGGCCCCTGTCATTTCTATGTCCGTTCCAATGCTACATATCCCAAGCAACAGATAAAAAAAACCTTAGATAAATCGGGCTTCAATCAATTCACAAAGAAGTAGCAAGCGTTCAACTGTTAACGAGGAGGATCTAGTTATAACATTAGAGTGCCTAACCAGTGTCATCATGTGTTGTTTGTACTATGTATTGTTTGTATATCTTACTGCATACACTGAACAGATATTTATTATATGCCTAATGCGCATGAAAGCTTTTCAGGGTGTAGGCATCGTCTAAAAATGCAAAGTTCATTGCGGACGAAGTGTTGGTACCCCTGGCCTAAATGGACGTTATTTTAATGTATGTTTCTTGTGCTTAAATTGACACAAAAGATAGCTAATAAATCATTTGAAAAGGTGACACATTTCAAATATTTGGGAACTACAGTAACAAACGAAATTTGATTCAGGAGGAAATTAAGATGGGATCGAATTCGGATAATGTTTGCTACCATTCATCCAGAACCTTTTGTCTTCTCGCCTGCTGTCTAAAAACGTAAAAACTAGAATATACAAAACTATAACTTTTCCTGTGGTTCTGTATGCGTGTGAAGCTTCATCTGTGATATTAAGGGAGGAACATAGACAGAAGGTGTTTGAGAAAGGGGTCCTGAGGATATTTGAACTCAACAGGATTAAAGTGATAGGAGTTTATAGGAAACTGCACAATGAGGAGGTTCATAGCTTGTGCACTACGCCAAGTATAATTAGAATGATCAAGTCAAGGAGGATTGGATGGGCAGGGCATGCAGCATGGGGAAATAGGAATGCGTATAGGATTATAATGAGAAAGCCAGAAGGAGAGAGACCACTAGGAAGGCCTAGGCGCAAGTTGGACGATAGGATTAAAGTGAATCTTAGAGAAATGGGATGGGGTGGTGTGTACTGGATTCATCTGGCTCAGGATACGGATGAGTGGAGGGCTGTTGTGAACACGGTAATGAAGCTTCGGGTTCCATAAAATGTTAGAAAGTTTTTTAGTATATAAGCGAATGGCGTCTTCTCAAAAGGACGCAGCTCCGTGGAGTGAGTCAGTTGTGTCTAAACTGTAACAACTAACAGAATTCATTTGTGCGTGAGACAGTTTTGGATTTCTCAGCATTAATATCATTCTGACGCTGCGTTCGGTTTGTACGTTTAATAGTAAAATCTCTAATCTGAATTCTCATTCATAAAGCGACAGTGTGAACCCAAGGTCACTTTGTTATATTTAGTCATACTAGGAAGAAATGCCTAGGTATATAGCTATTATTAGTAACCGCAGAAATAATACAAATCTTTGTACTCGTATGTACTTCCTATATATACTCGGTCCTCGTCTGCTGTAGTAGAGCTGTTGCAAAGGGCTTTCCACGTATTCACGTCTTTGGCTTGGATTTTGTATTCGTCCCCTCCAATTCTTTCCCTTTTTTATTATTTAAATACTCCCAAGCGTTTCT